TTTGCCAGAGAGATCGCCAGACTTCTCTATCAGTTTTGAACAGCACGTTAGTTAGCTGCGTATTCTTTACAGGGCGTTGCAGAACCAACCCCAGCATTTGGTGGCTGTTGTGGTTTTTCTAGGCAAATTTACGTCCAGTAGTTTGCCATTTCTTTCTGAACGTTCGGCTTCTCGATACCACTGTTGAAACCAACGCAAGGCCCGTAGCTAGGTTCGAACCCGGTACCCCGGAATTACGAAGCACGTTCGCAACGCCTAAGCCACAGACCGCTAGTACAAAGCCTAAAAAAGCAAAACTCATACCCTTGAGAACGTAGGGCGACAAGTACACTTAATTATGCCATGAATCTGTAAATATAAACTCGTTTGATTCCACATTTTTGTACCGGTGCTCTCTCTAGAGGATTGCCTTTCAGTCCCACGAGAGAAAGGGGACAATAATAGCGACAGTATGAGTTGTTATGAACAGCTTCTCAGTGCAGAACCGACAGTGCAAGAAAAGTCCGCCATGGTAAAGAGGCTGGAAGGGAGGGGGATAATTGCAACACACTGACGCTGTGTTGTGCTAACAGCACATCACAACAAGCACAGCTGGCAACCTTTCCCGCTTCACATTAAACTATTATTGATTTCCGTGTTGCATAACTTCTCGAATGGTAGACAAACCGAACACATCATATAACAATTTTACTTGTTTAATCCCAAAATACAATTTTAATCCTTCTGTTACGAAGAAGGACACACATATTGTTGTAGTATTCCCCCCCCCCCCCCCCCCCAACTACAGCAACATATGTTTTACATGACTCCACTGTAATAGTGACCCCATTTAACACCGGCCGTATTATTTGGCAATATGTGTGCATTAGCACTGTTTGTTGGATTTCTGCATGAGCTGCAACACACTGCAATATATAGAAACATGATGTGTTCTAACTACCACTGCTACTTATACTTTCATTTATCAAATCTCCCGAGTTAGATTCCCTCACAAGTGTAATGTTTCGTAACCCCCCCCCCCCCCCACTCCCTCAATCCAGATGAAAGTTGCTTCTTATCCACAGCAAGGTAATTTAACAATGCCACTAAGGTGGCCTGTGAGAAGCCGACCTAATTTTTTTCAAGAACTTCCCTGGACACGCATTTCCATATATTATTTTGTATTTAAAGGTCGAGAAATATATAGAAGGTGTTAAAAAGCCACAACTTTCTGTCGATTTCTGAAACCCAGGCCGCTAAGTTAATATGTTCCATTGTTTTAGTGTCAAATGGGGACGTTTACAAAGATACGTCATGCTTCGACACACCAGCGTGCATGAGGCGGCTTATCTACAACAAACACACGGCAGCTGACAACGATTACATGTCCCCCTCAACAAGAACTAGAGAGAGAGAGAGAATCCCGCGAAAAGAAATCGATTCACCCGTATCCCCCGCTCTTCGACGGCAAACTTCTGTTCTGTTCTAACATCAGCTTTAATTAGTCAATGTTTTGTTGTTGACAGAAAGACAGAGGCAAAGATGAGTGATAGTGTATTTTTTCTTTGTTTTTTCTTGTAAGCGTGTCGAACAGGCCAAGAGGTTCCTTAATTATAGACATTGTCCAAGATGATCCAGTGTTCCAACTACTTATAACCAATAAGTGAACACGCTACACAAGGGTTTCCCCGCGCCAGCCAATCAAACACCGTCATTTATTCCCGGGCCCTAGGTCAGACCCTTGCTAAAATGCCGTATATTTTCCTAACTTTCAAATAATAATATCTTTATCAAAAACTCCACAAAAAACGTTTATTACCCCACAGTGCGTTACAATAACATTTAATCTACATTTTTATGAAGAAATTATAAGTGAAAATTCCTTAAAAGTGCGTTTATTTTAAGGTTGAAAGTATGCACCTCTGGGATCTTGGTGATACTAAATTTAGCAGTTGATCAAAAGGTGGTGAGGCGGCGAGTCTGCGCTGTGGGCATCGTCCCCAGACTTGACGCCGGTACTACTTGCGATTCCTGGCCACCATCCCACCACTTCAAATCTAGATATTACACATCCCTTAGCTTTTCCATTAATTAACAACCTGCGAAACCCCACAGCTGAATTATCAGTTTTGTTTAACAATGTTTATGACAACCGTCCTAATGGCGATGCCGCCAACCTATTTTTTAAGCGGAGGAATGATGCAAATGATTGCGCTGCTGGCAATATCGACTTCAACATGTTTAATTTCTTCTCAATTTCAGCAACATTTCATACAAAACATTTTGAAACTTCCTATTGTATATCCTAAAATAATTTTCCAGATTTTGAGACCGTCCCGAAACCCAGTGAAAGGGTCCCAAGCCGACATGACCGAACCTCTCCTGTCCAACTCCCACTATTTTGGGAAAGGGGAATAAATTTACAGGCAAATTCTGGCCGCCATTTTGAATGAGACAATTTTGCTTTGTCAAATGATTCAAGTTTGAAACTTTGTTTCATATTTTTCAAAATAGATCACGGTAAGAAAGTCCGTAGATGTATTCTTTTCACCAGCAGCTTCCAGCTTGTCATGATTTAGATGTGGTTCAGCCATAACATGGAGGGAACTGGGTTATCGCACTTGCGCTGTGAATTGGCGATCACGGAAGTGCGAGTTAGGCAATGTTGATGAATGGATAGAAAGATGAAGAAATGTACCCTCCTATAGGTTCTTTGCCTATTCAGTATGACTTTAAGAAAATTGCCCTATTGTAACGCTATGAAACTATTTTGGTGAATACGCAAAATGACCGTCTCTATAAAAATTAATAAATATATTATCTATAATATATCACCTATTATCGATAACCCAAAACATTTCGTGGTAAAGTCTTTTCAACAAACATTACATGGTAATTAGTGGTTGTATGCTTGTGTTTGTGAATGGGCAGCAAGTCTGTCTTGTTATCTGTTCTCAATTTACAATTCATTTAGGGTTACAACATAAAATCTAGTCATTAGTCATGTCGTCGTCTAAATTATGATTAATCAGGCTTAGTATCAAAGTATCACATTCAGTTTAGAAACAGACTTGTCGAAGGAGCACTCGGTTCAGCTCACAACTACGTTATTATTATTAGTATTATTGTAATATGAGAACGTGTGTTCTTATGTGTTCATTCTTAATATATTTAAGCCCTAGGAAATACTCACAGTTTGTGTTAAATACAAGGAAATGTATCACCGGATTAATTATGATAATGGGTAAGTCAGTCATTCATTTTCATGGTGTTGATTTCTCTGATTTCAGATTTAAATTAAATCCCTAATATTTTTGTATACTTAGCTTAAGAATAAGCCTGTTTTTTTTTAAAAATTATATTTTAAGCTTCACTTTACTTACAGTGATCTAATATATGGTCATCATCATACGTTTAAAATTATGAAACTCATGGATTTGTTTTAAGCTTCATTCATTACATCATCTAGTTTATCTAGCTTCGATACAGTGGGTACTAATGGTGTCTTGGGCTATCCTCCGAATAACGGGCACAAAAGATGGCGACGGCAAAAACATCCTAACAGAGCCTCAGTCACGTGTCAATTGCGCACTTCCCGCGACTTAATTTGCGATTTTCCGGCAACTACCGCCACCACCAAGAGTTCCCCCGCTGCTCACGCGGCGTGGATTGGGGCTAAACTAGATGGCTAGGACTCACAATTAGCAGCTTCGACATCTTTTGCGGCTTTGCTCATGAGCCCTAGCCATCTAGTTTAGCTCCAATCTACGCGGCGGGGGTGACTCTTGTCGGTGGCGGTAGTCGCAGGAAAATCGCAAATTAAGTCGCCGAAAGTGCGCCATCTACTGCCAACTTTTGTGCCCGTTATTGGCAGGATAGCTGTGTCTTGTCTTTTGCTTGCAGCGCTTCAGTAAATATTTTTGTCAATATTTATACAAAAGCAGATGATAACTTCCTTGGTCTGCCTGTTTGTGTATTCACAAGGATTTCATCCTCCGAAACCTGTTAAAGCTTGTTGCGTATCCTTCAAAAGACGTTGCAGAACCAGCCCTATCATTTTTGGGCTGTTGTGGTTTTTCTAGGTTAATTTATGTCCAGTAGTTTGCCATTGCTTTCTGGACGGTCGGCTTCTCTATACCACTGTCATCCTCAAAAGCTCCACAAGCTTAAAACGACTGCTTGACGCCTCTTCTGACTTGATTAATGAAGGGTCTTGTTGGTGTCAGGTAGAACCAGCACTAACACCACATGATTCTATTTTTCTGGGACCCAGCCATCCCATAATTGTAATTTTCTCACTTGCTGACACACCACTTATCCTCCATTAGATCTTGATGCTTACTTATGTAGTGTTTTATGTGCAATCTGTATAGCAGGCTTTTTTAACTAAGTTTACTTAGAGACCAAAATTTTGGAAATGGGAATCGTCACGGGTCAGAGAACCGAGCCCAAGTATAGTAGCATCGTTAATAAAATCAGCTGGCAATGGCCACTAGCTAGGTCTGGCAGGCCAAATATGGCCCGCCGGCCACCGGTTTAGCAGCCCTTTTGTATAGTATCCATTTGGGGGAGGCGCTGGGTGTTTAATAAATCCACTGCCCCTTAAAAAAGCATATCGCAGAAGGCAACTAACTAGACATTGTGGGGGAAAACAAGAATAGACCCACTGCCTGCCCAATAAGCTTGTCTTAAGAGTCGACTAATTGGGAGCTTCCTTCGAAGTCGGAGTACATCTGATTGAGAGGCAAAGAACCAACAGTCTTCATGCAAATGAGCCAGACCTGTGAAACGGATGTACACGCAGCACTCAGGTTCTGGAACATGACCAGAGTCCAGAAGTGGACGAACAACCAGAACTTTCCGCCGGAGTTTTACAATCAGTGAACGTGAAGAAGAAGAAAAAGCATTTAAACTGTGAATACACTTTATTTTAATAGTTTTTATATGTGTCATCTGTTTATCGACAGATCATGTTAGGGCACACTGTGATCTGACGCATAAGCCTGCCCCAGTGCACCAAAATGTATGAAGGCAAGAACATCCATTACTCGAGTGCAGACAGCAAGCTGTTGTGCTCCTTTAGCGGTAAACTTTGCAATCAGCGGCGTCTTAACGGATATGGATTCTGTGTGCGTCACATCCTGGAAGACCCGACAGCCCCTTTCAAGCGTTGTGCATACGTGGCGAAATCTAGTAATCAGATGTGTACGCAGGCAATACCGAAGCATGAAGAAAGAAGGTATGTGAGTGTGTGGCTTAAAAGTATGACAGGAACACTCTCATCCTAATACTGTTAAAATAGTTATTTCCACTATGTTTCTCCCAGAGCCCCATTGGGGGGGGGGGGGCCCTCGCTGCCCCCCCCCCCCAAGCAAGCATGTAATAAAATGTGACTAATTAGATGTGTTTCCTACAAAGTCAGTTCATCTGTCTGAGGGGCAACAAACCAGCAATCTGCATACAAATAAGCCAGATCCGCAAAATGGATATGCGTATGAAACTGCAGTTCTGCAACAAGGCTTAAGTTCGGTAGTGGATGTGCAGTCAGAATCAGAGTTTACAGCCGATGAACCGAAAGAAGAAGAATGGATGGATAAAGACTTTGGTTGAAATGTTTGCTGTTTCTACGCTGTCTTTCCTTTCATAAACACCCTAGTTGCTTTTTCCCCCTATTTATTCCAGGAGAGGGGATGTGAGAGTTTGAATGTGCATGAATATAAAGTTTAATAAAAATGCTTCAGGGCTATTTCTTCTTCTTTACATTTGTCTGAGTGACATAAATACATTGTGCCTGTTTACAGCAGAGCCTTTCGGCTGATACATCCGACTTCATCGGGTGTTTAGTTTCTCTGATAATTTTTTTTGGGACAGGGAGATGTGGCATAATTTGTATGGTGTTCTTTTGGTCCTCTTATCAGCAGGTCTTGCCTCTGGCGACCCCATCCAGGTCATCTGCGTGTAGACAGGTCAGCACTCAAGGGAAGGCAGGGGCAGATCATGGGCATTCTCTGCCATCCAAGGAGGCTTCCATAAATGCTGGGCTGACTCCCTGTGTGGATTCCGGGGCCCTCTTATAAGGAAAAACAAGAATAGACCCACTGTCTAACCAAAATCATGTTGTGAGAGACTAATTGGGAGCTTCCTTCAAAGTCGGAGTCCATCTGCCGGAGAGGCAAGGAACCAGCTGTCTGCATACAAATGAGTCAGATCTGTAAAACGGATGCACACACAACACTCAGGTTCTGGAACAGGACTGCAGTCCAGAAGTGGATGAACAATCAGAACTTTCTGCCAGAGTTTACAGCTGATGAACGATAAGAAGAAGAAGCAGGGCTTAAACATGACGATCTGGTCCCAGGCTCACCCAAGGAATTGTCATGTCCTGCACTTCTGCTTATGTAAAGGAACTTTTTTATGCTAGTATCATGTCAGATTATAGTGCTGGACTGCTGTTTTTACAATCAAGCTGGCACTAAACGAGTTTTGTGGCCAGCATCATGCCGGCCACCTTTGCTTCCCAGCACTTTACATAGTAACCATTTTTAAGGTAAGATTGACCTGGGAGCCAGTCCTTGTTTAAACAAAATTCGTCATGTGGATTGGAACCCATTGGATTGGGCTCGCAGATAAGCATCAAGCATACCCAAAAGCAAGTCGAAAGAGTCCCACTAAATGGGAACTTCCTTCGAAATACAGTGCATCTGCTTGTGAGGCAAGGAACCAGCAGTCGTTCAAATGAGTCAGATCTGTAATATGGTTGTGCATGCAACACTCAGGTTCTGGAACAGGACTAGAGACCAGAAGTGAACAAACAGCCAGAAGTTTACAACTGGTGAATGTGAAGAAAAAGAAGTGTATATGTATTACCTACCTTTCTTTTGGAGTTAACCAAGCAGTTTGAGAGAGGAAACCTGCTACAGAGGCAACAGATGAACTTTACACTAGTGCCCAACCTTTGTGCTGTGGAGAGGAGGTATTTTATCCCTTGTCCTAATTGTTATCTGCATGGGCTTTTCTTCTTTGTTCATTGGCAGTAAGCTGTGGTCGAAAGTCCTGGTTATTCGTCCATTTAGACTTTGGCTTTGTGCAAGGGCCTGAGTTTTGCATGTACATCATCCTTTTTACTAGCTTGTTTGTGTGCATTTGGTTGTTCCTTGCCACTTGGGCAGACCCACTGTGACTTTGAAGGAGACCATCCATCTATTCCGAATTCTACGACGTGCCTACTGGGAAGGTAGTGGGTTCATTATTGTTGTCCCACAGTGGGACCCCTTACCGGGCTCCATGGCCTATGATTCCAATGTCTGCCTATGGCAGTGGTTCACAACCGTCCTAATGCCGTAACCCTTTGATACAGTTCCTCATGTTGTGGCGACCCTTTAATACTGTTCCTCATGTTGTGGCGACCCTTTAATACAGTTCATCATAATTGTTGTCGCTTCTTTATTACTTCAATGAATACTTGTTTTGCGATGGTCTTTGGTCACCCATGTGAAAGGGTTGTTTCACCCAAAAAAGGTTGCAACCCATAGGTTGAGAACCGCAGCCCTAAGGCATAATGGATCACAGTCATCAGGCTCTAACAGACCATTTCATGTTAACTGGGGGGTCCCTATAGCAGTGCCGTGCGTCAGAAGGTCATGGTTTTGTTTCACAGTTGTAACATTCCGTTCACAAGAATAAGACCCCCATGGATCGCAGCTGGAACTCATGCTGGCAGCTTGCCGTTCTGCTAAGAGACCGAGCTAAATGAGGTTAAACCCGGCGCAGTGAAATCAATCCTCTTATCTTTAACTTTAATTTTAACATTTTTTAATTGTTAATTTTATAATTTAATTGTTGGTAATTTACTTTGGTTTTTCTTCTACCTAGATACTGCAACAATCATATGCAAGTGTTGGGGATGTTGCCAAAGAAGGAGAGAAAGAAGAAGGACAAGCCAGGGGTTGTTTCAGAAAATAAACTACAACTTATCAATTCTGGGAATGCCAAAGCCAAGTTCAGTCTCTCTAAAGACACGAGCACACCTGTGATAAAGCCACCACCATCAGCTGGGGATCCAGATGACCCATATGCATTTCCAGATGCCGGTCCGGCAGAAAACAAGCCAGGAGACCTTACTGGCGTTATGCCCGCCTCTTGTGATAGCATTTTAGGAAAATCTCTACAGACTGGCCAGGGATTTGTGAGGTCAGCCAGTGATATCAGCAGCACTGCAGGATTTAGTCTGTCTGGAGGTTCCACAATCGCCAAGTACTATCCAGAGCTTGCAGAGAAGCTTGAGAAGATGAGAGCTAAACCTGAAACTAAGGTGGTGCCTAAGAGCAGGGCGAGAGTCTCCAGAACGATGAATAAATTACAGACTAAGATCGCTCAGAATAAAATCAATGAGAAACTACGGAAGTCACAAGAACTGAATCAGACAGATTCAAACTCCAGCCCTATTCAAGTGTCTAGCCCAGAACATGGTGCAGAGTTTGAACTTAGTCCTAGTCTGGATCGTGTGTTTAGTCCCGTATTACGCACTTATGGTTCTCATGGTTCCGCTACAGGAAGTTTCCCCCCGAACCTCTCAGCGTCTCGTTATGAGCAGCTGCCAGGCACGCAGGACATCCCACCACTACCTCAGGTTGACACCTCTTTTTTAGCAACTCTTGCAGTTCAGGACAGTATGGGCTTCCAAAATACTTTAAATGAAACTGGGTTGTCAGAGCGGCTCATGGCCGCGCATACGCCTCCTCGCTTACCACCACCGTATCCTGGTTCTTCCACATTATCAACACCTTCATCGTTAGCTTCCACAGATCTTCCTGCCAGTGCCTTCAGTCCACAGACAAACTTGAACTGTGTGTTGGAAAATTTCAGCGCCTCACACTCGCCCCAAAGGACTACGATAACCCAAACAGGCCCATCAGGGCCATCTTCGTTATCTTCACTATCATTTTCTTCCCCGCACTCTTTACATCCAGGGCTTCAGACCCCGACGCCTCCTGGCTTTCTCTCTCCAGCCTCGTCATCGTCATTTCCATCGTCGATTGCATCAAATTACTCATTTCCAACATCAGCGGGAACCACAGATTCTCAGCTGCCAAGCCTAAAATCGGTGAATAATCGTTTACCCACAATACCTCCCTCAAACATAAACATTTTTTCCATGTTGAATATAAATCCGAAACAGTTGAGCATTGACCCGGCAACTGGACTGCCTCAGCAGCATCTGCTTCCGTCTCCAAACACCCTGGCCGCTCATCTTAGTCTACCTCCACCACCACCATATGTGCCTCCGGTCGTTCCACCCAAAGTGGCAGTGGCAACACAACAACAGAGCATACCACAATCAAAGATCCCAGCACCGGTCCCAGCATCGGCACCTGTGACACCAAAGACCTCAGTTCCCCACACGAAACTACACAAATTAACGGGTATCCTGTCTGAAAAAGTTGCCAAGCGGAAGTTGAAAAGTGACCTTGCTGTGAATTATTATTCCTTATATGCCAAGAGGAAAATCAGCAATCACTGTTTGGTGGGCCCTTGTGAGTATATTGTTTTTCATTTCTTCATGTTGCCTGTGTTTTTTAAAATTTCCTTCATGTTGTCTGTGCGTTTTTTATTTGTTGTTGAAGAACAACATTCAGAAACTCCAGTGACGATCCATAGGATCTCTGGAATACTTGCTTTTGTAGAGCCCAAAACGAACTTCTAACCTCTAGACTGCAAGGCGATCAGTACATTTCTTATTCACCTGTTTGGTGAAGATTTGACCCATACATCGTTGATGGCAACATTTGACCCATGTGCCCTTATGTGATTAAAATTGATCGTGTGTGCAACTGCTGATCTGTTGGTAACTTCTGCTACCGTGGATGATGAACTGCATTTCTTATGTTGGACTGTTTGTGTTAGCACTTCTGATGGTTACCATATGCTTTTAATGCATGTATATGCTAATGCATATGCTGAGACAGCAGTCTGTCAGTCTTTCCACAAGGGAATGTGGTGAACATTGTATGTGTTTTTCGTTGGCACAGGAGCGGAGCAATTATGGGATGACCCGTTTGCTATAAAGCTGTAACTAAGATTACCCAGATTTGATCCATACATCATTAGAATGCAACATTTGACCCATACATCATTGATGGCAACTCCTTCCCTCAGAGTCAGAGTACATCTGCCCGAGAGGCAGGGAACATTACCACACAAATAAGCCAGTAACACGAATGCACACACAAAACCCAGGTCCTGGTACAAAACCCAAATGGACAAACAACCAGAACTTTACGCCGGAATTCACAGCCGGTGAACGCAAAGAAGAAGAAGAAGATTGTGTGAGGGTGTTTGATCACTGATTTGTGATCTTCAAAACTCTGAAGACATCAGATAAGATGGGTAGATAGATGGATGTATAGACAATTCGTTGGATTGGTTTAGATCAGCGGTTCTCAACCTGCAGGTCGCGACCCTTTTTGGGTGGAACGATCCTTTCACATGGGTCACCTAAGACCATTGGAAAACACAAATTCATTGAAGTTATGAAGTAGTAACAAAAATAATTGTATGTTTGGGGGCAACCACAATATGAGGAACTATATTTAAGGGTCACTACAACATAAGTAACTGTATTGAGGGGTCGTGGTTTAGGCAGGTTGAGAACCACTGGTTTAGGTGGGTGGGTTGGTTTATATGAATGAGTAGGTAGGTTCAAATGATGGACAAATGAACAGACAGAAAATGAAATGTCTTTGATGAATCCTAAATTAATAACAAGACACAGGATAAGAAATGATATCAGGAAACAGGTGAGGATGGAACCAGTTTGATCTTACATCAAGGGACAACAGATCAGCTAGTTCAGATGGGTCAACCCCCGTGTGGGTTCCGGGGCCCCATTGTGGGGAAAACAAGAATAGACCCACTGCCTCCCCAAAAGCATGTCGTAAGAGTCGACTAATTGGGAAGCTTCCTTTGAAGTCGAAGTGCATCTGCCTGAGAGGCAAGGAATCAACAGTCTGTATTCAAGAGAATGAGATCTGTAAAACTGATGCACACGCAACACTCAGGTTCTGGAGCAGGACTGCAGTTCAGTAGTGGACGAGCAACCAGAACCTTCCGCCAGAGTTTACAGCTGGTGAACGTGAAGAAGAAGAAGAAGATGGGTCAAAACTACCACAAGATAGTGCACTCCAAAGAGCCCTGTCCCTGGAAAACCACTGTTCATCCATCTCCTGGTGGTGGCTTCCCACTTAAGTCAAAGTCTACCTCTTACTCACTGATTTTCAGCTTTTCCCTCCAATTAGTTTTGTTGTTCTTGAGTCAGTGTCTTTTAATATGACCAGATATTTCCCTTTTCTCCTTTTTTTACTACTTGCTGCAACTCTTTTTATTTTGTCTGTCGGGTAGGTACCCTGATAACATCAGATGGAAGATGTATTTAAGAAGTTAACTGTAGCATAGCTCAGTCAAAGGCAGTATTTTACAAAATGAAAAATTATATGCTATCTTTCTTTGTCAGTTGAGACGATAAGAGAATTCTTAAAAGCTACGTAAATTCTGTCCTGATATACAGAAGTGAATCATGGCCAGTTGGTAGATTCACAAAAAATTTATTGGAAACTACAGAGATGTGTTTTTATAAATGGTTTATGGTTTAAACAACAGATCAACATCGTGGCACAAGGGTAGTAACCCATAAGTGCTCTGTTCTACTTCTAACTCAAGCCTGAGTCCGAAGAATCTCAGCGCAGTGCACGAACTTTGTAGCACCGGCAAGGATCCTGATATTATAGATGAATTATAGATAAATGATCAGATTACTTTGGACAGATAAAAAAGAATAACAGAGGTGTCTTGAAAGAAACTGACCACTAAGGTGCCTACATCAGAAAGAGACAATCTACATTCTTTGTCATGTGATGAGAAGGAGAAAACTGGAGTACATCATGACAGTAGGAAGGTTGGGTGAAGAGAGAGAGAGAAGATGCTGAGCAGTTTGACATCATGGCATGGAAGATCGTCTGCATAAGAGCTGATTGAAAGTACACGAGACGGATGGTTGTGGATAGACATGACTACCAATGCCACACAGCATGGACTAAGGAGAAGAAGGGCAGAGCCTCTGCGTTCGATTCATTTCTATTCTTTTCTCTAGTTCCGTTTTTGTCTTTTGGTGCCAGGTTCTGAAAGAGGCCTGGTCGGAGCCTTGGTATGTGCTACGTAGCTGCTGGTATTTATTACCTTGGATATTCCTTTTATCCATCGCTTGCGCGGTCGACCTCTGCTTCCATTGTATGCGCAAGAGTATCTGCGATTTGCTGTCCTGTTATTATCTCGACACATGTCCAGGTTGTTTGACCTGTTGTCTCTTGATGTAGTTTAACACTGATTCTATCCCAGCTTCTCTCCTGATATCATAATTTCTTATCCCTTTTCCTTGTTACTTTCAGGATTCATCATTGACATTTAATTTCTGTTGTTTCGCTTCTTTTTGCTTTTGTGTGTTAATCTCTATGTTTGACACTGGTAGCATAATGCTGGTAAAAATACTGTATTGAATAGTGCTCTGTTGGTGTCAGGTGTTAAATGTTTGGGTTCTTTATTAATATCCTACCCCTGATGACATCACAGGACAGTCCAACATTTTAGAGGGTGGCAAGACTGGGTTTCCTGGCTTTTTGATCCTTGTAACGACCCCCAAAACATCTAGAACTGGCCCTAACCCCAACCCACCTTGGTCCCACGAGAGAATGCAGCCTATGTCCCACGACTGCATGCAATATATCTACCGTAACCCCCTGAAATATTAGACTGTCCAGTGACCTGTGGATTTCCTGTTTGGGGTAGGATATTAATAAAGCACCCATGTTTGATCTGCAAAATTGGTGGCATCTAATGGCGGACTGTTTGTGTTGGCACTTCTGACATCTGCCTTATGCATTTAATGCGCATCTGTTGGCTCAACAGAGCCTTTGGTTTGTTTCAGTATTTTGCACAAGGGACATATATATATGGACATACTTTTTGATTATGGTAATTGTGTGTGATATTCATTGGCTCAGAACAGAACGGAGAAACTATGGGGTGACTTGTTTTCTGTGGAGTTTGAACTGACAAACTAGTGACATCTGTCAAATGATTTGATTTACTTTCTTGTGTCCAAATGATATTTATATTTGTATTTTATTGTTGGATGATGAGAAAGCAATGCAGACTACTGGTCATAAATTAAAACCTAACGACAAAAAAAAAATGCTGAAGATTGGTTCCACAACATTCTGTAGGGGATACACAGGTGAATTGTTTTGAAAAAAAATATAATTAAAAAAACCACAATTCACACTAAAAAAAAAAGTCACATGATATCACTGAAAATTAAGCATCAACAAGCAGCCGACCAATAGACAGATATATGCCACACCAAAATACGCTAGAAGAGAAACGACATCATCAGCACACTTGCACCCCTTGAAATAGTGGACTGTCAGGTCAGCTGTGGAATTCCCACGGATTTTCGTGTTTGGGGTGCATTATAAATATAGTACCATCTTGAAGGAAAGAGAGCAGAAGGAAGGCCGAGAGATAGATACCTCGATTGCCTAGCCAGGTGGGGGGGGGGGAAGGGGGGGGAGAGACAAAAACATGAAACTAATCCACAAAGCTGGTGATCGTGTGGGATGACAGCCCACACTTATCAGCATAGCACATTCTTCTTCTTCCTCCTTCTCTTCCTCCTCCTCCTCCGCATCTTCAGCCTTCTATCCCCCAGTGGGGCACAGGCCCTCAACCAACTCGTGCCAAGTTGTAGCAGTACGGCACATGTTGTTGGCTAATTCCCTAGGGTTTTAGTGTTTTCTTCACAGTTGGTCATTTATAATAAACTGTGTTGACTTTACCTTCACCTAGATTCATTGATAATTTCAGTTCTGGCCAGCTCAGACGATGACAGCGAAGATGGGGGTGTTGACATGTTGCCTTGGCAACGGGATGTCTTCTCAGCGTCTTCAGATGAGGAGGCAGAGTATGATGATGAGTGAGTATACGGTCTTCATATTTTAATTTCGATGATGAGTAAGTAGATAACAATCCTCCGTACTTATATTTTGGGGATCTGTCGTGGTGTAGCAGCTAGACAATCGCCTGCGGATCCAAAGGTTGTGTGTTCGGGTCCTGTCGGAGCCGGGCGTTTAAAAACAAAATTGCCATGGCTTCCAGGCTGACCCAGCCTTAAATGCCTACCAGGTAAGGTAAAGTCCTGGGAAGTGAAGGCAGCCGGCGTGATGTTGGCCACAACAGCCACCAAGTTCAACAAGTTGCCTACTGCTCTGTAAAACAGGCATGGAAAAGGGTCCTTTACTTTTTATATATTTTTTAAAAAATAATTATATTTTAATTTAGATGATTAGTAAGTAGACAGTCTTTATATTTTATGTTAAGTTATAAGAAAAGGGCTTTAGTGTATGAATGACTTGACCAGAAGTCAGTGGATGCAAGGACCAGGTTCAGTATGTCAGTTAAGTCTGTTCCTACTTTAAATTGGTAGCCAGAAATAAATACACCTGGCCATTTTGAATCTTCTTCTTTTCTTGCGTTCATCTAAAGATGTAAATGTGTTCTGCTCGTTTACAACATAGCTGCAGTGTTTGCACTTTTTGGTCTATGCATCCGATTTTTGCAGGCATTTGCCCGGGTTAACCTACCTGGAGTGTGAATTTGAGGTTTTTGGCATGAGTTCCGTGGCTCTATTTCGACACATTTTAAGAATTAGTTATTTAGAGCACAAAACTAATAAATATGTCAGAGACAAAATATACAAATTTGCGGGTCATCAGGAGCCTCTCTTGACAGTGGTGAAACGTTGCAAGCTAGCTTGGTTTGGGCACGTGGTGAGACATTTGATTGCAAAGACTGAGACATTTGATTGCAAAGACTGTATTTCAAGGAACATTGGGGGGGGGGGGGGGTAGTCGAAGAAGAGGGCCAAGAAGAACCTGAAATGGCAACATCAAGAATGGACAGGACTAAGTTATCATACACTTATTCATCAAGCGGAAGACTGGGAAAGATGGCGGGATTTATGTACTAGTGCTTCCATCAATACACATCCATGACCCTAATAGGTTAAAGGTTATGTTATTTTGGAGAACATGATAGAGCCACTGACCCCCTAGCCAGAAGTCGTAGGAAGCTACTAATTAATGGGGGTCTCATTTAATGTCAAGTGCATCTGCTTAAGGGGCAAGGAACCAACAGTACAACTAAGTCAGATCTGTAAAACGAATGTGCACACAAATCTTAAGTACTGGAACAAGACTCCAGAAGTGGTCGAACAACCAGAACTTTCCGCTGGAGTTTACAGCTGGTAAACAAACGCTAAGAGGAAGACGAGGAATCTGATATGCGTTTTTTCTTTTGCAGCCATTGTTTTGAAACAAATGAAAGCCATTGAATCTTTTTGTCCACCTCTCTTCTAAGAGGGCCAACTAAACCTAGACATTTATTACTCTTATTCTGTTAACAGACGAGCAAATTTAAATATCTAGGCTGATTTTTCACCTCAGATGGAAAAATGGATAGAGAAGTCAACATAGTTGTGCGAAAGCAAATCTGGTTATGGGACAATTAACACCACTTCTGACGCATCGAAAGATACCTCTGTCGAAGGTTAGTTGCATATCCTTTACAGGACATTGCAGAACCAACTCCAGCACTCTTTGGCTGTTGTAGTTTTTCTAGACAAATTTACATCCAGTAGTTTGCCATTACTTTCTGGACAGTCGGCTTCTCAATACCACTGTCGAAATCAACGCAAGGCCCGCAGCTGGGATCGAACCCGGCACCCCAGCATTACGAAGCTCGTTTGCAACGCCTAAGCCACAGACGCCGACCTCTGTCAACCAAAGCAAATATTTATTCATTCACATTTTTAGTTCCAGTGCAGGAGCATTAAAGTTAAATTGCTGCCAGGTTTTCTCATTGTGTGTAATTCAACTAATTACTGAGGTATTTTCTGATTTTTTAAACAGGCTGCCAAATGACGTCCCCATGGGAATGCGGCCAACAAAGTTATCGCTCCTGAAGACTAGACTGCGTCGGCAGTGGTGTCAGGCCAAGAATGCCTACAACACCAACAGGCTGGTGCAGAGCAGTAACAATCAGGCAACATTAGCTTTGATACGCACAGCCAGGAACAGCGCGGCTTGTGCTGTGAGGGCGCTGTGGCAGATAACACATGTGAAAAAATCCAAACGAAAGTAAGTAACATAGTTCAGCCTGATAACGATGTGAAATGATGCAATAAAAGTATGCTTATTCTTACATTTTCATTCAGAGGGTATCTGCAGCGAAGTGTTCAAGCCATTTGCCTCGCGCTCTGAAGGTCGTGGGTTCATACCGTACAGTTCATAAATAAAATATTTATGGAGATCCCTGGGGATCGTTGCTGGTCCGGAGGTCGTACGCTGTGTAAAGCTCTTGCACAGGCGGCTAGCTGTTCTGAGGCGAGAGACTGAGCCATATGGGATAAAACTCAGTGCAGTGAAGTCGATGCTCTCACCTTTACCTTTAGATATTCATTCATTCATTGTTCTTTTGGGCCATTTATGTGTTAGGTGCTACAAGGGCTTGCCATTATATCTTCATTCCATTCTATCCTGCTGAAACGATGGTGATCTCAAGAAAGGAAAAAAAACACCAGATCATTAGGCGACGAATTAGGGAGATCTGTAAGAGATGAGGCACCAGCAGTCTGCATACAAATGGATGTGCAAGCAAAATTCAAGCTCTAGAACAAGACTAAGGTCAAGAAGTGGATGAACAACCAGAACTTCCCCTGGAGTTTATTCTTATGGTGAACGCTAAGAAGAAGAAGTCTTTTGTTACATTACATCCTGTCAGTGGATGGGATTTGTGTTTTTAAATTAATCCCGTCACACTGTAAACATCATTAATCCTGTTAACAGGAAAAGCCGCAGAACTAACACCACAGGCCAATTCTCTGTAAATTTCACTTTTCTGACTTGTCCATAGTGATCTGTTTATGGGCTGTAAAGTTAGTGCTGTTGGCTGTCTTCACACTATAGTGACCTGTTTATGAGATGTATAGTTAGTGCTGTTGGCTGTCTTCATGCTACAGTGACCTGTTTACAGGATGTATAGTTAGTGCTGTTGGCTGTCTTCACGCTATAGTGACCTGTTTACAGGATGTATAGTTAGTGCTGTTGGCTGTCTTCACACTATAGTGACCTGTTTACAGGATGTATAGTTAGTGCTGTTGGCTGTCTTCACGCTATAGTGACCTGTTTACAGGATGTATAGTTAGTGCTGTTGGCTGTCTTCATGCTACAGTGACCTGTTTACGTGATGTATAGTTAGTGCTGTTGGCTGTCTTCACACTATAGTGACATGTTTACGAGATGTATAGTTAGTGCTGTTGGCTGTCTTCACGCTATAGTGACCTGTTTACGTGATGTATAGTTAGTGCTGTTAGCTGTCTTCACGTTATAGTGACCTGTTTACGTGATGTATAGTTAGTGCTGTTGGCTGTCTTCACGCTATAGTGACCTGTTTACAGGATGTATAGTTAGTGCTGTTGGCTGTCTTCACACTATAGTGATCTGTTTACAGGATGTATAGTTAGTGCTGTTGGCTGTCTTCACACTATAGTGATCTGTTTACGTGATGTATAGTTAGTGCTGTTGGCTGTCTTCACGCTATAGTGACCTGTTTACGAGATGTATAGTTAGTGCTGTTGGCTGTCTTCACGCTATAGTGACTTAGTTACGAGATGTATAGTTAGTGCTGTTAGCTGTCTTCACCCTATAGTGACCTGTTTACGAGATGTATAGTTAGTGCTGTTGACTGTTTTCACACTAGTGCAATCATCTATGAGGTCAGGATGTGAATATATTTATAAATATAATTTAGCGGTCTTTTTTCTTTAAGCCATTTGGGTTTTTTTAAAGCTAAGTTGCCACATAATTTCCGTGTAAGGCTCATTAATAGAGTTCACAGTAAGAGTCGGCCAATACATACTTTTTTTGTAAGGCTCTGACATTGTATTCCATTTAATTCTTTACTCCTTTCATGTTTATTGATACTCTGTTTATAAAGGTAAATTTCAAAATGTTATTAAGTTAATTTTTAATAATATTTATTAAAGATGTTAAAAATTGTTGTTTTTAAAGGCTTTTTGTGTGATAATTCCCATGGGTCCACGACACTCCCTCCCTCCCTCTTGTTTTTAGTGTTACAGGGGTGAAAGGGTTGTGTCTTTTTATTTTCATATTTAAATTTCATAGTCTCTTTGTGTCTTTCAGGCTGCAGAGGAGGTTGCCTAAGAGAAAAATTTGCTGCCACAAAAATGAGAAAGAGGGCCAATGTCAGAACCAGTGTTTGCCATATGCCAATCATTGCTTGAAACGTATCCTTGAGCCAGTTTGATTTCGGTTATTTCTATACTTTCTTTGCCATCAATTTCCTCTCTAGTAAAGTGTTTATTTCCCAGTCTAGTGTAGACGTTCATAGTTTTTAATGAGATTCCTAAGAAGAGCATTTGACATATTACGAAGAAAGAAGAGGTGCTAGGTTTCATTAGGGAACAGTTGAAATGGTTCAGCCATTTTCTGGCTGCCAACAGGCAGTAAATGATGTAAAGACAAAGTTGGAATCGAAATTAGAGACGAGGATCTCCGTGGCGAAGTGTTCGTGCCTCATGCTCTGAAGATATTGGGTTCGTTTCCCAATTGTGAGTTTGGTTCTTGGTTGCAATTTTTTTCTTCGGAGTCGGAGTATATCTGCCCGAGAGACAGGAAACAGCAACTGCACCCAAATACAGGAAATAAGCCAGTAAAACAGATTTACACGCAGAAATCAGGTCCTGATGCAAAGTTACAATCTAAGTGGACGAACAACTAAGACCTTCTGCCGGAATTTGCAGCCAGTGAGCGCGAAGAAGAAGGGTGCAGTTTTTATGAAGATCCTAAAGAATGGTCACTGGAGCTACAGAGTTAGTGCTTCAGCAGTCTTGGCAGGTGGCTAGTCGTTCTGTGGAGAGAGACTAAGCTATATGGGATAGAATCTAGCCCCCAGACATTGATCCTCGCAACTGTAACCTTTGAACTGAAGGATGGGTCGGTCATCAGTCATGCATACAGTGGACAAAAGGAATAACAGAGCTCCTGGGTACATGGGGTAGATATGAAACTCACAGAGGGCACTCTCTCAGGTGATGCTTTGCCTCAACACTGCAGTGTACAGGACCGTCAAGTTTGTACAGTGTTGCCTTATCATCAAATGTCGCTAAGTCCCCTGCCAACTTTCCCGCGTCGTGACCTGTCATGTTCAGGGTGTCCTTGATATCCCCTGTCCACCCTCATGCTGATTATCCTCTACCTGTTCTTCCAGAGTCCATACCATCCATTATGGTTCTCTGCTAACCAAGACTGTTAAAGAAATAGTTGCAGGTTCTTATTACAAAATGTTTTTATAAGCTGCTAGCACTTCTCACCACAAAATATCTTTTACTGCAGTGCTGAAAAATTTCGGCTATCCTCCGAATAACGGTCCCAAATTATCGAGGCCGAAAATATACCCTAACAGGGCCTCAGTCAGGTGTCAATTGCGGACTTCCAGGGACCATACCACCACCACCGAATTGTGAACTTCCGGGGACTATACCACCACTGCTGAGAGTATCCCCTACGCCGCTCGCGCGTCATGGATTGGGGCTAATCTAGATGGCTGGGACTCACGAGCATATAAAACAAAGGAAGCTGCAGGAAATGTGGTAGCTGCTGCTCGTGAGTCCCAGCCATCTAGTTTAGCCCCAATCCACGCCGCGTTAGCGGCGTGGGGGATAGTCTCGGCGGTGGATGTATAGTCCCCGGAAGTACACAATTGACACGTGACTGAGGCCCTGTTAGGGTATATTTGGGACCGTTATTCGGAGGATAGCCGAAATTTCTTCAAAAAGGTATGCCGGTACTGCATGCACCCAGGAAAAAAAAGCCCTGCTGCAAACCATTATGCTGTTTAACATGGAAAAAATATGTACAGACCCGGTGGGAAGCAAGAAGAGGCCAACCCAGCAAATTATGGACAGATGAAATTACTCAGCCCCTGGGAATCCCCATTTCCTAAGCAGACAAGCAGGTGTTTTCCCCATAAATTATACTACATTCAACAATTGCAAAGTACAAGAGGATCAAGATGATGTGAGATTTTGAAAAAAATTTAAAGTCGTGATGAATGTCAGTATTTGTTTTAAAAGCTGTTCCTCCACATTCATCATCATCAGTTTCAATTTTTCCCATTAAGCAACATGAGGAGAATCAGTTTGCGATCCATTCTTTGAGAGGTAACAATGGCTGTTATCATTGCATGTCGATGTGAATGGTTTTTAATGTTATCAGTCCATCTTATCCTAGGTGACCTCTCGCTTTCACATCAGATCTTTTGATGTGTGGAGCTTGTATTAATAGTTGATGTGGTTGATCTTTGCTGCGCTGTGTAGCAGAACATGTTATTATCTATGGCTAGACGTGGACACATAGTTAAGACAACTTGGTAATGTGACCTGACCTTGACTGGTTGAAGATATCACATACAACATCAATCAGCAGCTGTTTGATTTCTGCACTGCCAAGTTTGCCAACAACGTCCAGTGTTGTCTCCCATCGTTTGACCTTCGGCACGAGCTTCCCCTTTGCCAGGAGCATGCTGCCAAAACGGTCAGTTGATTATTTTCGATGTTTATTGGTGTTATGTTTTCTGAAATTATCATGAGTTGCGTTGAGCTTAGAACCAGCATCACAGCACTCGGGTCATTCCCATAAGTGCTCCATTCTGATCTTCAGCAGCTAGCGCAGAGTTCAATTTCTTATGGTACAAAAAGCAGTCATTTTATGTCCAAAATGCGGCAGGAGATCACAGATTGTGGTGAGTCTTGATTGCCCATGCCAGTCGGCAAGGCACCTGCTGCTGCTGATGATGAATGTCTTTCCCTTGAGTGGTGAATATTCGTCAGATCCCCTGGTCATTGCCCGTGGCACCGTTCTTTTCAGACCATGATGATGTATTTGTGCTTCCGCACTGTCCACTTGCTTCCAGGTGAGCTCTTCTACTCAACGTGAAAAGAAGGAAAACAGAAAAGAAACACGTAGCTGCTGAAAGGAACATCATTTTGTGGTCATTTTAACATACAAAATCTGTTTAATTTAGTGAGTTAAATTGTTTAAATTGCCCACAAGAATACCTTAAGATTCCACCAGTTGACACTTCTCTTGTGCATCTTGATCATCAATAGTTTTTAGACATACTGGCTTTCCCATCAGCTGATAAAATGCTGTGTTGGATAACTATGCGTTATTCTTATAATTTTTGTTTAACAGTATATATTATCTTATAGTTGTGACTAATAATAAATAATTCTGCCTGTTATGTAACCTACATTAAGACTGACCAGTAGCATGGAGACTATCAGAATGGAGACAGAGATGTGTTGATTCGTGGGAGACTGTGGATCAGGCGAAGCGAACCAGCTTTGTAAGCCGACGTGCAGGTATCGATCCCAACTGCAAACAGTTGGGCAGCAAACCACCCTATATTGGTTTTGGTTGTGATATTGAGAGCCAGCTATTTAGAAAGCATTGCAAACTGTTGAACATAAAATTGGCTAGTAAAATCACAAATGCTAAAAATACTGTGGTTGGTTCTGCAACATTCTATTAAGGACACGCAAAATGTTAAATAAACTGTGAAGTGTTTGTTAATTTTTGAAAGGTTGGATAAGCCATTATTTAATTGTAAGGGGGCCTGTGTGGTCTCGAGGCATGCTGTCCACCTCGAGTGCTAGAGGTTCCGGGTTCAATCCCGGGAAAGGGCTGGGATTTTTTCACATGGACTTTGACTTATAGTAATTTCCCCCCTGGTCTCTGGGTAGTGAGATCGGACGCCCGTGTGTGTTGTTGCCCACATAAAAAAATGCCTTTGCAGTTGGAAATCGAAAAGAGTTGCCTAATGGTGCTGCCCGGGCAAAATTTTGAGTTAAAAATCTACCCAAAGTATTTCAGGATCCATGCCGGTGCTACAGAGCCTGTGCACTGTGCTGAGCTTCTTCGGACTCAGACTTGAGTGAAAAGAAGAATGCCCATGTTCCATGATGTTGATCTGTTGTTCAAAACCTATTTTTAAATTTTGAAAGGTTAAATTAGCTGTTTATATACTATTAAAGAAACAAAACACATAGCTACTGAAGGAAACATAATTTCATCATAATTTTCACATGCAGAATCTTTGTAATTTAATGAGTGAAATTGTTCAGATTGTGGGCAAGAATAACCTAGGGCTCGGCCAGTCAGTTGACATTCTTCTGCATCTGGGTCCTCAGTGGTATTTAGGTGTTCTGGAGCCAATAAAAACGTACCTTCAAATAGCTATGCTTTTCTTGTTTTAAAGAGTATATTTTGTATTCAAAATGTTTAATTAACTACTGTGTATTAAACATTTGTCGTATTAACATGGCCATCTGTTTGTCACTTCTAGGATAATTATCAAAAGCAGTTGGCATTAGAGAACAAGAAAAAGCCTCGGAAGAAATCAAAGCCTCCGGCTCTCACTCGGCCTCCAAGAAAAGGAAAGAAGAAGAAGAAAGGAAGGTATGCTCGAACCCAGAACCTCGTAAGTCAAGTGCAATCATCAGGAATCGATTCTGGTAAGTTCTCAGTGCTGTTTTTGTCTCTCTCTCTTTCTCTCTCTTGTCTTTACCTTGTGTGTCAAATCTTTTCATTCTCTTTAAAAAAAATTTTTTTGATTTTTTATGCCACTTCTGTCAGTTCCATCAGTCAGCTACTGTCTTGAGTTCTTGGTCCTACACTTTGAGTTGTGCATTTCCTGTGGAATGTATTTTGTTGTTGTGCCTGCAGCATGATGTTGACTGGTTCAGTGCCAGCTTCTGTGATTGACCGTTTGTGCCAACAATTATTATATTATTTTTTTAATGGTACAAATTGTGTCTGTATGTTATGTCTCTTTATTTTCATGCTGTCGCATTTGTAATCTACATTTGTAATTCCTCTCTTTGTTTTGTATGTTGCGTGTTATCTGTCTTTCTTTAATTTTTATGTGGCTGATTGTAAACTGTCTGTGTCTATTAAATTCTCATGTTGCCGACTGTCTCTTTATTTTTCATGTTGCCACTTATATGTTGTCTGTGTCTCTTTATTGACTGTTGTTGACTGAAAGTATTCTGTGTCTCTTAAATTCTTATCTTGCCAATTGTGCATCATGTGTTACTGTGTCTCTTTAATTATCATGTTGCTGACTGTGTCTTATCTGTGTCTCTTTATTTTTCATGTTGCCAGTTGTAAACTGTCTTTCTTTCTTAAATTATAATGTCAGTAATTTTATGTTTTCTTGACCAATAAAAAAAAAATGGTGCTTCTCCACAGCTCTGTCGGATGTCGATGTCACCACAGTAGACTCTGGCAAACAGGAAGAGAGCACACTGAGGGTCTCAGTCTCCCCTTCTCATGGCAGCGAACTAGCTCATGCTGCTGCGGCTACTGCTATCGCCCAAGTTCCATCTTCTGTTGCTTCGTCAGGTTTCTCTGTTCCCATCAGCAGAGGAAATAAAAATCTAGACCATGGTCTGGAACTGGAAGAGCCGTTGTCGCCAGGTAAAAGCTGAAATGAGTTTATTTGTTCTCTCAGTTGGTTTCGTCTGGTGATTGGTTCTAAGATGTTTATAAATATCACATGGCCTCCCCCATGGGTTCTGGAACCTCATTTTGAGAAGAAGAAAACTAATAGCCCCCCACTTATGCACATACATGTCGTAAAAGACAAATGATTAAGGCTGCTTTCTTTGATGATAGTGCATCTACCTGAGAGGAGGAACTCAGTAGTCTGCATACAAATAGACCAGATCTGTAAAACGGATATGCACGCAAATCTCATGTTCTGGAAGAAGATTAAAGTCCAGAAATTGATGAACGACTAGAACTTTCCACTGGAGTTTGCAGCACAAAAGATGATCATCACTCATCTTAAATCTGATTTTGTGGCCACCCCTAAACTTAGAATTGAGTCTGGGGCACAGGCAGAGGAGATGTTTCACTGCTTGTGGTTGTCGGTTTGTTTTATGTTTGAAAGGACCTAAAAATATGATGTAAGTAAAATAACATAACAATGTAAGAACTCCCTTCTCCGCCAGTGTTGCAAAAGGCCGTTAGAGGATTTAACTGGATATGCTTATGATAAGAACAGAAGAAAATAAAAATTACCAGTGAAAAACTAAGAACAGCGGTAGGCGCAGTACCAGTAAACAATTACATATAACATCAGAGGATCAAATGGTCTGGCCATCTAGTCAGAATGGAACAATATTAGCCAGCAGCTAGAGTGTACCATATGAGAACAGCAGGCTACAAAGCAAGAGGCTGACCAAGAAAGTGATGGGCGGAGAAAGTAAAAGAGACTACAGAAATGCACTAGGTCATTAACACAAGTTGCACCACTAGCAACAGAATGAAACTAGATCTAACCCCTGTGTAACGTTTTACGGCAGAATCCGTCGGGCAAGAAAACAGTTACATTGGTTATATTAGGCTGTACTCACTGTTGTATGTAAATCAGACAGTTGCCAGGACATACCTGCATTTGTATGTCAGTCAGACAGTTGCCAGGACATACCTGCATTTGTGTGTAAATCAGACTGTTGCCAGGACATACCTGCATTTGTATGTCAGTCAGACAGTTGCCAGGACATACCTGCATTTGTATGTCAGTCAGACAGTTGCCAGGACATACCTGCATTTGTATGTCAGTCAGACAGTTGCCAGGACATACCTGCATTTGTATATCAGTCAGACAGTTGCCAGGACATACCTGCATTTGTATGTCAGTCAGACAGTTGCCAGGACATACCTGCATTTGTATGTCAGTCAGACAATTGCCAGGACATACCTGCATTTGTATGTCAGTCAGACAGTTGCCAGGACATACCTGCATTTGTATGTCAGTCAGTTGCCAGGACATACCTGCATTTGTATGTCAGTCAGACAATTGCCAGGACATACCTGCATTTGTATGTAAGTCAGACAGTTGCCAGGACATACCTGCATTTGAATGTCAGTCAGACAGTTGCCAGGACATACCTGCATTTGTATGTCAGTCAGACAGTTGCCAGGACATACCTGCATTTGTGTGTAAATCAGACAGTTGCCAGGACATACCTGCATTTGTATGTCAGTCAGACAGTTGCCAGGACATACCTGCATTTGTATGTCAGTCAGACAGTTGCCAGGACATACCTGCATTTGTATGTCAGTCAGACAGTTGCCAGGACATACCTGCATTTGTATGTAAATCAGACAGTTGCCAGGACATACCTGCATTTGGGTGTAAATCAGACAGTTGCGTGGACAACTGCTGGTATCACTGTTCTCTTTCCTCTTCTTCTTAGTTTCACAGACTGTAAACCCTGGCAGGATGTTTTGCTTCTTTGTCACCGTTTTGGGACTTTAGTTTTGTTCCAGTCTAATGCTTGCAGCACCAGATCTGTAAAATGGATGTGCACACGGCACTCAGGTTCTGGAACATGACTAAAGTCAGGAGGTGGACAAACAACCAGAACTTTTGGCTGTAGTTTACAGCCAGTTAACGCAAAGAAGAAGAAGACTACCATTGTTTTAAAAAAAGCATTTGGATGCATGTCCACACTACTGAAGAACATGTGTAAACACAGATAGAGTTATGCTTATTATGCTGTTGGTGATATGTTTCTTTTTCATACGTATAGAAACTTACGGGACAATATAACAGCATAACCTGGTGATGATATATGTTCTTCCTGTGCAGTTTTTTTTACCTGTCTGTTGAATTAAATTATGTACATGGTTGTGACTGTTTGGCAGATTTTGACAAGCCCTTTGAGCTGCCACTTGAGCAAGCATCACGTCTGCTGGACGAGTCCGATTTTCAAGAAGTGGTCAACAAGATGCCTTTCGATGCTCTCGATCTTTTTGGTGAGTTAAAGATCAAGCTAGAAACAGAACCTTATATCTCCCTCGACACCCACAGCGGTAAGAGAGGAAGTGAAGAAGAAGTGATCAAGGTGTTTTAGTGTTGATTGTTTTGAGAATGAGTGTCGTTAGTCTAAAAACACTTGGAGACATACTCAGGAGCAGATCGGAGCACTCATGGTCGTGTCTTCTTCTTCTTCTTCTTCTTCTTCGCGTTCACCAGCTGTAAACTGGCGGAAGGTTCTGGTTGCTCGTCTACTACTGAACTGCAGTCCGAACTGCTCCCTAACAAATACATTGTAAAAGTAAACTATTTGGGTGGTTTTCCTTGAAACTTGGGATGCATCTGCCTGAAAGGCAAGCAACCAGCCATGTGTGCATATAGATAAGCTTGGTCTTGTTCTAAAACGTGAGTTTTGCATGCACATTTGATTTATGGATGTGGCTTATGTGCGTGTGCAGACTGTTGGTTCCTCGTCTCTCAGGTAGATGGAGTCTAGCTTTGAAGAAAACAGCTCTAGTTAGTCACCTCTCGCAATATGCTTATTGGGGGGGGGGGGGGGGGGGGGGCAGTGGGCCTGTTGTTTTTCTCTGCATAATATGGCCCAGAATCCACACAGGAAAGAGAGTGATGCGTTTTAGGACAACCTCAAGAGATGGAAGAATGCAATCTTAGAGGCTGCAGCTCTAGGACGAGAGGTAGAGCATGTGGATCTGTTGCAGCTAGAGGGAGAAATAGAGCATGTGGATTTATTGCAGCTAGGGGGAGAAATAGAGCATGTGGATCTGTAGCAGCTAGGGGGAGAATTAGAGCATGTGGATCTGTTGCAGCTAGGACAAGAGGTAGAGCATGTGGATTTATTGCAGCTAGGATGAGAAATAGAGCATGTGGATCTGTTGCAGCTAGGAGGAGAAATAGATCATGTGGATCTGTTGCAACTAGGGGGAGAAATAGAGCATGTGGATCTGTTGCAACTAGGGGGAGAAATAGAGCATGTGGATTTATTGCAGCTAGGGGGAGAAATAGAGCATGTGGATTTGTTGTAGCTAGAGGGAGAAATAGAGCATGTGGATTTATTGTAGCTAGAGGGAGAAATAGAGTATGTGGATTTATTGCAGCCAGCACTCAGTGTAGAGATGGGACCTGATAAAGCGACACCAACTGCTATGCGAGTCTTAGGAAATCCCGTCTGATAGAAATTGGTTTCTTTCTTTTTTAATGCCTGGACACTAGGAGTGAGAGGGAATGAATGAGCGGACTGGTGTGCTGTCGGGGCCATGGTAGGCACAGGAGAGGCATGGGACTGAGCTGACTGCCTCATTTTTTTTAATGAGGCAGGACGAGTAGATGATTAGGAGAAAAGGCTGAATCCACAACCTTGACAAGAACTGCATGTCAGAAGAGGTATTTTCAGACATGAATACTATACAGGTGGCCAAAGAAGAATAGTAAACCAACACAAAACTGGTGTCATCAGCTGTCACATATCGAGGGAGAACCTGAAGATGGGGTCCAGTGTGCAGAGAGGATGATCAGTCCATTAACTAACTGATGTTTATAAAATAGTTGTGCATTTGTTCAGATATTGGAGTTGGATTGAACTGTTTTCTTGTGTCTGCAGGCAAAAATGGAGAACCTGAACATGAGTCAGAAGTGGCAGACCTGTCTTCAGCCAGCAAAGCTCGTGATGCCCTGGAGAAGCTGCTCACAGGCACCATGTCAGAGGAGGAGTCCATGCAGATAGCCATGCTGCTGGCCCAGAATCTGCAGACAGATGCAGAACTGGCACATCATGCTGGGCTCATGAATGAGATCATTCCCAGCACCACAGCTCAAGGAGACTCCCGGCTGCTGTCCTTAGGAGGTATGGGTATGGACATTTCCATGACCCCGCACTTGTTGGGACTGTCGGTCAGTGATTCTTCATTACTGTCCATGCAGCCAGCAGGTCTAAATGACAGTTCAGGGTTAGGAGTTGCTCATATGGGTTTGCATTCTTCGCAGCAGCAGATGTTGCATCCTCACCAGGCAGGAGTCATGCAGCACCTCTCTTTGACAACAGCCTCCAGCATGTCTGGGTCCTACGGTCATCAGGACAGCCTCAAAATGAATGCAGCATCATTTCATCCGCTTCAGCAGCATCAGGTGCTGGCATCCCCGGCCACATCTGCAGCAACCATGGACAGTATTCCTTCAGTCTTTACTGCTGATTTGAATGCCATGTACGGTCATGCTGACAGCATGTCACAGTCCCATTTGTCTGTTGACCACAACTCTGTTTTAAATCTCAAACATATCACAGGCTTGGATAGTTTTTCAGTATCTACAGCAAAGGCTGTGCTGCGTCATCATCTTTCTCCATCACAGCCTGTAACCACCAATGCCGGAATCAAGACCTCAAATGTTTATGCAGTCTCAGCTCAAGCCGGTTACCACCCTGATATGGTTGGAGTTCAGATACCCCTGACGCAGGCTAACCTCGAGCTGTCTCGGAGTATCATCAATCTGGAAGCATCCTCCATAACACAAGGTGGTTATAGCCTGCAGTCTTTGCCTGTCATCACGGTTCAGTCGAGGTCAGACAAGGGAGTTTCATATCAAAGTATATCCTCACAGTTATCGTCCAGTAAATTGTTGTCTTCATCCTCGTCAGAGTTTCCGCAAACGCTTGCACTGTCAACGCCATCCCGTGCCAAGAAAGCAAAACTCATGACCTCATCAAAAACTTCATCTGTGATAGCTCACCAGCAGATGCTGCACCAGAGTTTGCAGCCCCAGCCACAACATGGGGTCCAGCTGCAGCACCGATCACAACTCCCTCAGCAGTCTGTTCAACACATTCTCCAGGCCACTGCCCCGCCCCAGACTAGAAGCCTCGCTATACCTGATGCATCCAAAGCCGTCAGGCCTTTAGACAAACCACCGTCTTCACCAAACCTTCCCACAACCACTGCTGTCAAATCCCATGCCTCCACGGGCCAAGCTCTATCCACGCGCAGGCTGGTTCTGCCTGGGGTCGAGACCCTACACCATCGGGACAATTCAAAGCAGGTTTTCACTTCCTTGGCTCTGTCAACATCAGACAGTTCAAAGGTAAAACTGCATAACTCTAACATGCAGCTTACAGACATCACAAGAACTAGAATGAGTTTACAAGAGAGTCTCAACTCGCAACATACTATGAATTCTGTAAGCTCCACTCAGGCGTCATTCACTTCTTCATCTTATTCAAACTCAAAACTAGGAAATACGGTCAGGTACTCTCTGACGGCAGACAGTTCCCTTGCTCCTGCAGCATCATTGACCACGACCATCCGCCACAACCTCTTGACTGGCCCCAGTGGACCTACAACAGAATCTATTTTAGTCACAGTGCGACAGCCGTCTCCGTTAGAGTCTGTGCCAACAACGGTCAGACACACGCTGCCGGACACCCTCTCTTCACCCATCACTTTGCCATCATCACCGTCGCTTCACATGCATCCACCACCAGCATCGTCGTCGTCGTCATCATCATTATCATCGTCTCAGGAGATTCCAAGCTACAGCTCACATAACAAACTACCACAGTCGGGTATTATAACACAGTCATCATCGTTATTTCACTCGGACCTTCACCGCCCCCAGTGGGTGCCGATGGCTACCAACATCACCTTGCAGAATGGACTGCCTTTTGTCTCATCCGCATCCAGGGCCCAATTATCAAACAGACTCCACCCTGCTGGCAAGGGAAGTGTTAAAAACAAACAGAGCAACGCTGCTGCAGAGGCGGCAAGAATCTCTGCCCTGGCAACCGCCGCCGGGGTGCCAGTCGTTTGTAATCAAGTATCGCTGCCTGGTTTCGTACAAGGCATCTCAACCACAACATTCAAAACCACCGGCTCCTCCTGATTGTGGCTTTCCTGTCAAGTGTTGTCAGTGGTGGCTTCTTCGTAAGCAGAGGTTGTTTATCAGTTGTTTAGCAAATTATTGTCTTCTTCATCAAATCTCGTCCATATTTAATGCCAGATCTCCGTCTTTTAATTTTGTATTAATATGTACAGATGTTAAGAGTGTTGCTTCCTTGTGAAAAGTGTGGAGGCTCAAAAATCGGGGCAGTAGCCTGTGGTCCCCAAAGTAAATGTGATGGTGCGGTTGTGAAATTATGATTCTGTATGTACTAGATAACAATGAGCATATGAGTTGAAGTGATCAGTTTCCTTTTTTGATCCCCCTCAACCCCTCTCTCCGCAGTTCATCAAAGCCCTGTGGGACTGTATTTACCTGTCTGTAGCAATATCCTGTCACATCGGCCAGAAGGACTGTATTTACCTGTCTGTAGCAATATCCTGTCACATCGGCCAGAAGGACTGTATTTACCTGTCTGTAACAATATCCTGTCACATCGGCCAGAAGGACTGTATTTACCTGTCTGTAACAATATCCTGTCACATCGGCCAGACCCGTGTCATCTCAGTGTCTTCAGGCTCAACCTGCCCAGTAGTTCTTTCTTTGTCCTACAGCCTGTTTCTGCAGGCGTGTCCTGGAACTGTTTGCAGCTGTCAGAGGTGTGTTTTGTTACAAAGTGACCAGCTTCCCTTAGAAAAGGGCTAGTTTAACTTGTTCGGTGCCAGAAGAATGGCCGAAAGAGCCACCAGCTTAAGTGCATTACAGTAAAACATTGATTAGCCACCGCTCGTTTGACCGTCAGTTTCTGTTATCTGTGTATAAAAAACACCAGACATGTATTTTGACGCAGCATGGGTTTATAGTTTTACATTTCTGTACATTACTACTCCTGTATTGAATTTTATATTGATTGTTTTGTAAGATTAAGTACAATATGTAAGCGTTATTCATTTTTAAAGGTTTTAATTTTAGTCCCAAGCCTGCGGTGAAATCACTTTACTGTAGATTTCTGTTATTCACCTATTCTGTTATGCATCACAGCCCTGGTCCTGACCGTGGCGGTTAATCAAAGTTTTATTGTACTTTCAAATAGGCTACACATTGGCAGCATCCACTGTATAAGCTATATTTTCTTAATTTGCTTCCAGGAAAACGGTGAGGAATTTTGTAAATGTAAAGGGTAAAGACTAAAACACACGTCTTGTGTTCTTTAGGGCCGAAAGAGTTAAGCCTACTGTTAATTCTGCTTTTGTTTCTTTGTAATAGTTTGCAATATCAGGAGATAAGGGGACTGCTTACCTTCCTCTGTATCTTTTTTCCTTCACCCCAGAGCACAGTCTGGTGTCTTCTTGATAGCTTTAGCATGGGTCACCTGCTGGTTTTGAAGAGACTACTTCAGACGCCGGAAGCACAGTCTGGTGTCTTCTTGATAGCTTTAGCATGGGTCACCTGCTGGTTTTGAAGAGACTACTTCAGACGCTGGGAGCACAGTCTGGTGTCTTCTTGATAGCTTTAGCATGGGTCACCTGCTGGTTTTGAAGAGACTACTTCAGACGCCGGAAGCACAGTCTGGTGTCTTCTTGATAGCTTTAGCATGGGTCACCTGCTGGTTTTGAAGAGACGACTTCAGACGCCGGGAGGGACAAGAAGACAGGGAAGATCAAGAGAGACCCTGGACCTGTTCATGAGCCGCCGGATGGCCAGTCTTACATCAGACACAAAGTGTCTGTGTCAGTAGCGCTTAATAAAGCTCATTACAAAGTGTCTGGGACAGTAGCACTTAATAAAGCTCACCACAAAGTGTCTATGACATTAGCACTTAATAAAGCTTTTCACAAAGTGTTTGTGACAGTAGCGCTTAATAAAGCTTGCCACCAAGTGTCTGTGACAGTAGCACTTAATGAAGCTCACCACGAAGTGTCTGTGCCAGTAGCGCCTCATAAAGCTCGCCTCCTAGTGTCTGTGACCGTAGCACTTAATAAAGCTTGTCACAAAGTGTGAAAGTAGTGCTTAATAAAGCTTGCCACCAAGTGTCTGTGACAGTAGCACTTAATAAAGCTCGCCACAAAGTGTCTGTGACAGTAGCACTTAATAAAGCTCACCACCAAGTGTCTGTGCCAGTTGCGCCTAATAAAGCTCACCACCAAGTGTCTGTGCCAGTTGCGCCTCATAAAGCTCGCCACCTAGTGTCTGTGACCGTAGCACTTGATAAAGCTTGTCACAAAGTGTGAAAGTAGCGCTTAATAAAGCTTGCCACCAAGTGTCTGTGACAGTAGCACTTAATAAAGCTCGCCACAAAGTGTCTGTGACAGTAGCACTTAATAAAGCTCACCACCAAGTGTCTGTGACATTAGCACTTAATAAAGCTTGTCACAAAGTGTCTGTGACATTAGCACTTAATAAAGCTCGCCACAAAGTGTCTGTGACAATAGCACTTAATAAAGCTTGTCACAAAGTGTCTGTGACAGTAGCACTTAATAAAGCTCACCACCAAGTGTCTGTGACATTAGCACTTAATAAAGCTTGTCACAAAGTGTCTGTGACATTAGCACTTAATAAAGCTTGCCACAAAGTGTCTGTGACAGTAGCACTTAATAAAGCTTGTCACAAAGTGTCTATGACATTAGCACTTAATAAAGCTTGTCACAAAGTGTCTGTGACATTAGCACTTAATAAAGCTCACCACAAAGTGTCTGTGACAGTAGCACTTAATAAAGCTCACCACAAAGTGTCTGTTCCAGTAGCGCCTCATAAAGCTCGCCACCTAGTGTCTGTGACCGTAGCACTTAATAAAGCTTGTCACAAAGTGTGAAAGTAGCGCTTAATAAAGCTTGCCACCAAGTGTCTGTGACAGTAGCACTTAATAAAGCTCGCCACAAAGTGTCTGTGACAGTAGCACTTAATAAAGCTCACCACCAAGTGTCTGTGACATTAGCACTTAATAAAGCTTGTCACAAAGTGTCTGTGACAGTAGCACTCAATAAAGCTCACCACCAAGTGTCTGTGACATTAGCACTTAATAAAGCTTGTCACAAAGTGTCTGTGACATTAGCACTTAATAAAGCTCGCCACAAAGTGTCTGTGACATTAGCACTTAATAAAGCTTGTCACAAAGTGTCTGTGACATTAGCACTTAATAAAGCTTGCCACAAAGTGTCTGTGACAGTAGCACTTAATAAAGCTTGTCACAAAGTGTCTGTGACATTAGCACTTAATAAAGCTCGCCACAAAGTGTCTGTGACAGTAGCACTTAATAAAGCTCGCCACAAAGTGTCTGTGACTGTAGCACTCAATAAAGCACTTAAAAAAAAATATTATACCTGAAGACAGTTACTGTAGCATACCGCTAAAAAAAAAAAACGCCGGGCACTCACTATTCTTTTATTTCAGCAAGTCGATTGCAAGAATTAAGATCTCTTTTCATGCCTTTAGGCGTATTGGGCATTTGGTGAGAGCACCCATATGTTTGCAGACCAATCGGCACTAGGTGGGTAATGTGGTCAGCATTACGTCGGCCGTCTTTCCTTTCCTAGGACATACATCCTGGTAGCCATTTTAGGCTGGGTTGACCTGCGATGACCCATACAATGATACAACGCCACTCAGCCAGCAGTGGATTAGGAGTCGGACTCTCACTGCCTTAAGCCACGGACGCCGCTATCAAGTTGATTAATGAGAATTAAATTAGGAAATGTTAACGCCAAACATCTGTAGAGAAACTTTATCGGTTTGCTTCATTAATTTCTTTTATGTAGTGAGGACATTTAAGGTTTGTGGCTGAAATTGACAGAAAAGTTGTGTGACTTGGCAAAATCTGTGATAGTTGAGATCATATTCAGTTTGTTGTGAGCATATTTTTGTTGTTGTTGATCATTTTATAATTGGAATGTTTAATTAATAATGGACATCACAGCAGTCTGGACACTCCCATAAGTGCTCAGTCCCCATCTTCAGCAGCAAGCGAAGAGTTCCATTTCTGATGGTACCATTAACTGATTGTGTATCCATCTCATCCTTCTGAGTTTTGAGCGTCGGCCAGATCACCTGGTAACTCCTTGCAGCGCCATTCTCCTTAGACCGTATAGATCTGTCTGTGCCTCCACACTGTTTACTTGCTCCCACAGGGCCCTTGCAATATCTAACTTGTCATACATCAGTTCACCACCAAATAGTGCAGAGCCAGCCAGTCTGTCTGCCTGCTCATGTCCCAACACACTGGCATAACCTGGAGAAAATATCCAAAGGACGCTATCTGCCCAGGACCTCTGAAGCGATGCCTGCCACTCTACACGGAGCATGCCTGTCTCCACCTTTCTCACCATGCTCTGTAAGTTAATTATTGCATAGCTTCACAAATGAAAAGTGGGCAAGATAACTGTAGACCTAACCCCTTAATTTTGTGGTGTTTAGTTATCTATGAAGTTTCTTCATGTTTCTATGTTCTGTTGCTGTCAGATGTATTTTATTAGTTATCTGTGAAGTTTCTTCATGTTTCTATGTCCTGTTGCTGTCAGATGTAGTTTATTAGTTATCTGTGAAGTTTCTTCATGTTTCTATGTTCTGTTGCTGTCAGATGTAGTTTATTAGTTATCTGTGAAGTTTCTTCATGTTTCTATGTTCTGTTGCTGTCAGATGTAGTTTATTAGTTATCTGTGAAGTTTCTTCATGTTTCTATGTCCTGTTGCTGTCAGATGTATTTTATTAGTTATCTGTTCTTTACAAGACGTTGAGGAACCAGTCTTAGCATTTTTTGTCTGTGGCTGTTTCATTTTACCAGGCAGTTCAACATTCAGTAGTTTGCCATTGCTTTCTGTACAGTTAGCTCATGATACCACTGCCTGTCAAAGTCAGCACAGAGCAGCCTGCTGCCAGATCACCAGCAGCTGGGATTGAACTGGGTATTGCAGAATTACAAAGTGTGTTCACAATACCTAAGCCAAAGACGCCGGCTTGTATTAGTGACAGTATTTTGTCTTGAAAAAAAATCTGGTCATGTTTGTATT